ATGTCCCGGCCCCACCCGGGGCCTCCTCCACTTCATTAGAACCCAAGCTAAGTTTCCTCCCTGCGGCCATCTGCCTTGGAAGCAGCCGGAGCGCACAATGGCACCCTTTTATCCAGAATGCTTTGCAGGGGACAAGTCCACCTCTGGCGGCAGGCCCAGCTGCGGCCCAGCAGAGGTGGACACCCGATCCCATTGTGGGGTCCTCTAAAGGGAAGGTCTCTTGAAGCGGTGGCCAACGGCACTGAGGAAGCGGTCCGGATTCATTCAACCCTGAGGGAGAGTGAATGACAGGCGACATCAAGCAGACTGAGCTGAGGAGGAGGAGGAAGAAGAAGAAGTGCTGGAAGCTGACAGAGGGAGGAGGAGGAGGAGGAGGAGGAGGAGGAGGAGGAAGAAGAAGAAGAAGAAGAAGAAGAAGAAGAAGAAGAAGAAGAAGAAGAAGAAGAAGAAGAAGAAGAAGAAGAAGAAGAAGAAGAAGAAGAAGAAGAAGAAGAAGAAGAAGAAGAAGAAGAAGAAGAAGAAGAAGAAGAAGAAGAAGAAGAAGAAGAAGAAGAAGAAGTAGTAGTAGTAGTAGTAGTAGTGGTGGTGCTGGAAGCTGACAGAGGGAGGAGGAGAGGAGGAGGAGGAGGAGGAAGAAGAAGTGGTGCTGGAAGCTGGCAGAGGGAGGAGGAGGAGGTGGTGGTGGTGCTGGAAGCTGTTAGCCTCTGCTGGGACACTGGCCTTGGATGTCAGCCTGAGTTTATTGTCTCCTATCGCTTCCATTCACTGTATTAAAAAGCTTGGGGACAGAGAGGAGGCCTGCTACGGAGAAAATCAATAGCTGTCTACAAACAGATGTAAAGCCATTCACAAAATCAAGACATTTAAGCAAGAGGGACAGGGCTCAATCGATACAAGTTATTGGACTTTTTTTTTTTTAACTCTGCAGAAAATGGGCACATTTTCATGCACACTTTAACCGACAGGGACACGTTCACCTGCTCAGTATATATCTGTAGGTGTTTCAGTCTAAGGGATGCATTGATGCATGCTTTCTTAGTCTGGAAACACAGGACAAAACGTTTTCAAGGTTTTTTTTTGTTTTGGTTTGGTTTGAATTCTCCCGGAAACGAACATTTGTCAATTCATAGCAAATTGGGATGGAAGACATTTTTTCCCTGGCCAGGGAGGAAAGCTCAGCATCTTTATTCAAAATACAATCCCAGACCTACTTTGATGGGGGGGGGGGGAGAGGGAGAAATCAATAGGAAAGTTGCTCTTTACTTAGTGCAGTGTTTCCCAAACTTGACAATTTTAAGGCATGAGGACTTCAACTCCCAGAAGTCCACATGCCTTAAAATTGTCAAGTTTGGGAAACACTGACTTAGTGTATGAATAGATTGGCCATAAGGTACATTTCACTTATATACAGTGTTTCAAACCAGGCCAAAAATTTGTTGAGACAGTTTTCGAAACTAAAGCTAGCCCGACTAAAAGCAAACATTCAGTGTTATGTATCTTTAACCATCATCGTGGGACTAACTGCCCCAGAGTGATCTAAAGAAAAGCCAGCAATGAGCAAAAACGCTGAGAATCTTCTAGTAGCTAATATCTCCTTTCTCCAAGGAGCCTTCCAGATTCCTGATTGGGAGAGATCTACAAAGAGATCTGCTAAAAATGGTAGAGAAGTTCTTCAAGATTTGCAAGTTCCCGAAAATATTTCCCCCGAAAGGAAGTTTGGCATGTGAGGTTCAGCATGGAGGGACTGTGCAAAAAGCTGGCCTTGCTCAGTTCTTCCTTTAGGGATGCAATTCCGTGAACTCAGGCCAGGCTTGACAATTAGAAATAATGAGTCGGCCACTTCAGATAGCAGATGCTGAGAGGCAGGGAAGAGGGACTAAAAAAATAAAAATCAGGAGACAGGCATATGTGTGCAGGGCTGCTGCCCTCAGCTGTGCAGGAAGACGTCAGTTCACAAGTGTTATAGCCAGATTTAACTGTCAGCCAGATTAGCCTCTGCAAATGATCCAGTGAGAGAGAGAGAGGCACGTCTTAGATTTTACTGCAAATTCTACAAATGAGCTGGTCTGGCTCAAACTATTTAGAAAAATCGGCAAGATTTAAGGAGGACACGGGTTAGCAGAAGACATTCCGTTGTGTTGTTCAACCTGTTGCACAGTTAAAGATGGCCTGTATGGGTGGGCTTCTGGCATCTCAAGGGTCTCCACGGGGTATGGTCAAAAAAGTCAAAATGGTGGCTGCAATGGTCTGCAAAGCTTGCCGATTTTTAGTATGCGTAGAGTGTAGACCAGGGGTAGGCAACCTCGGCTCTTTTATGACTGATGGATTTCAACTCCCAGTCAGCTATGCTGACTCAAGAATTCTGGGAGTTGAAGTCCATCAGTCATGAAAGAGCCGAGGTTGCCTACCCCGGTGTAGACCTTGCAGTGTGGTCTGCACATTAAGAGGCATGGTGGCGCAGTGGTTAGAATGCAGTATTGCAGGCAAACTCTGCCCAGTCTGGAGTTCAATCCTGACTGGCTCAAAGTTGACTCAGCCTTCCGTCCTTCCGAGGTTGATGAAATGAGGACTCAGATTGTTGGGGGCAACATGCTGACTCTGTAAACTGCTTAGACAGGGCTGTAAAGCACTACAAAGTGGTATATAAGTCTAAGTGCTATTGCTATTAACGCTTTCGAGGGAAGAAGAGGGTGGGCTACACTGCAAAGTGAGCCATTTCACACTCACAGAGGAGGATAATGTGCTTTCTTGCAGAGCTGGGGAAGGGCACTGTGGAGTCCGTGCTTTTTTCCTTTTCAAATCATGTTAAGCTATTTTAGGACTGCTACCATTTCATGTGTTTCCCATCTCAAAATAGCAGCAACTGTGCTGCCAATTCTCAGCCAACAGGGTCCCTCTGTGGGTCTTTTTCTATAAAAAGATGAGCTTGAGAATCACGCATGGCTTTGAAGACGAAGGTGGCCACCCACAAACTAAGGCAAATACAAGAACAGTACAACGCTGCTTGACAAAAAAAAAAAATGGACCCCCACTTGGCTTCTGAATATACAGAATATATATAGTTTGTAGCCATACTAGCACTGGTGATACCGCCTAGTTTGGGTAATGAAAAATCTGCAAGAAAAGAACCAAGCTCACAAAGGACCCCTCAGTAACCTTCGCCAACAAGTGACAGGTTTCTCACACACAAGAGGTATGAAGAGTCCAAATTTGTTCAGGACTGGGCAGGAAAACCACTGCGAGATGATTAAACATTTCTTAGGGGTGTAACCGCACTAGGTTAGGAACTGAGAAAAGGTGTAAGTTGTTGTCTTGCCTTAGGCATGAACCCAGCTGGGTGGTGCTGGGCAGTCGCTCTCAGCTTAGGAATAAAGCAGTGGCAAACCACTCCCGAAAATATTGCCAAGAAAACAGCAGGGGACTATTTTGCCAGAAGTCAACATGGGCTTGAAGACATAAAAGAGCTAAGGAAGAAGGAAATCTTGGCTGAAGAGCTTCGCTAGGACCAGGAAAGTCTTAAACTTTCCTTATTTCTCTTCTGTGGCTGAAAGCAAAATAACAGGTATGCAGAAACTGACTAGCTCCACCTGTTCTTTCCCCACTTGGAATCCTCGTTCTCATTCTAGCCTGACAGTTAATTGCTAAGCAGAAGATACAGAGGTAGCCCAGAGAAGATTATGATTCCTTTGATTCCTATCTTTTCTGCCTGCTTGGATGTCTGTTTCATTTTTTTTTCCTTGTCTCATCCTCCTTCAAAGCTTGAAATGAGCCGAAGAGAGGAGGACACAGATAAGATGCTTGCTAAAATAAGCCGATTCTCTAGAAAGACGGGCAAAGTGGAAAAGGATGCTCCCAATGTGGAAATCTAGATGAGAAAATATTTGTACATGTAGACAACAAAAGCCAACCTATCATACCTGGCCGTTTCAGCTCCAAATGCACCTGCGTTCTTGCAAACAGGCTACGCCTCATTGTTCCCTCTTAAATAAAGTGGTAGATTTGCCATAAAGCCAAATGCAGCCAAACGTAAAGCCAAATGCAGCAACTATCACAAGTGGTGGCCTGAATTTGGCACCAGGATGAATTGATGATTCATTATCATCAACGAGTTGATAATGGATTGATGGTGATTAGGGGCCTGGAGGCTAAAACACATGAAGAACGGTTGTAGGAACTGGGCATGACTAGTCTAGTGAAGGGAAGGGACCAGGGTGACATGATAGCAGTGTCCCAAGATTTGAGGGGCTGTCACAGAGAGGAGGGGGTCCACCTATTCTCCAAAGCACCTGAAGGCCAGACAAGAAACAATGGGTGGAAACTAATCAAGGAGAGATTCAACCTAGAATAAGGAGAAATTTTCTGACATTGAGAACAATTAATCAATGGGATGGTTTGCCTTCAGAAGTTCTGGGTGCCCCCATCACTGGAGGCTTTAAAGAAGCGATTAGACAGGCCACTTGTCAGAAATGATATAACGTCTTCTGCTTGAGCAGGGGAGTGGAGTAGATGACCTCCAAGGTCCCTCCCAATTCTGTTATCCTGTTAATCTGTTAAAGCCCTTTATCCTGCTGCCAGTCCAGCCTGCTACCAACAGCCCTTTATGGGATGCCCTAAAGCAGGGGTGTCAAACTCACAACGTCACATGACTGGTTGCGATGTATCGTGACTTTTTTTCCATTGTCGGCAATGGGGTGGGCACGGTTTCGGCACGATGCATCCAGCCCGCGGTCTGGCAGTTTGACACCCCTGCCCTAAAGGGATTCTCACAAAGATGCAATATGAAGGTTATAGGACGGCTGGGAAAGGGGCATTATGGGAGGGGAAAGCAGCAGCTCCTTCTCCCATAATGTGTGACAATCTCTGGATTCAGTATAGGCTGTCCCAGAGCCGCACAAAACGTTGAAGTGGTCAAAAGCACCTATGCTTTTTCTGCAGACACAATTTTTTTTTTTTCCTCAATACCGTTCTTCCACCCAGCCCCTTTGTCGCTGCCAACTGACCGGAAGAGATGTTCTGGTAAGTGCTGATGTTCCAGAGGGTCTGGAAGGCATCTCTTGAGGCATCTGGGTTCAAAGACATCAACTGAAAAAAAAAATGCAGAGCATCAGTGAACAGGAAGAAAGACATCGGGGAGCAACCCGTCGTTCACACGCAACGGTTGCGGCAGTGAAGGGTCTGTCCTGCGGTCAGGGACTTCCAAGGCTAAATCTCACCTTGGCTGTAAAGGCACCAGGTCACAGGAGGGGAAGGAAAGCCGAACAACATCAGCCCCAGCTCCACAGTGGCAAGAAAACAGTGATGGCACTGGCTATCTTACAAAGCAGAGGCAGATTTTGGCCTGTCCTTTGAGGCATTTCGATGCTCCTGAGAAAGGATTTGCCCCTTTGCCTCTGATTTTTCACATGAGCTAGAGAACTTCTGAATGCCAGGAGCACTCTTGTTTACAGAGGGGTCCTGCAAACATCGGAGTCTTTGCTCATCCCGATAATAAACACACTGGCTGAGGAGGAGAAGAGAGCACCAGGTCACGGATGGCTGAGCTATATAATTGCAAACGTGGAGCATTATCTGGCCGTTCCAGCGTCAGGAGGTGACCTGCAAGCATAGTGAATTCTCTCTTTCCTGGTGGGAAGTTCCTTACTATCTTCTCCTTGCTTGCAGGTCTTGTTCCCCACCGGAATCAAGTTCGGCCATCTAGGTACCCATCTCACCCAGCCATGAGATTCCCAAGAGGCAGCCCCCACCCTGTGACATCAGAAGTGAAAGATCCTCAACAGTCATGACTGATGATCTGCCATCAAGTTGGCATTGGCTTTTAAGCAACTGCAGGGATAGATTTTTCTCCATGATCCTGAACAGTTACTGTCTTGAAAAAGTAGTGATAGGAGAACTGTATTTCTAATGCCCCCCCTCCCTGCTGAAACCCAGCACGGTGGAGCCTTCTCTGCCTGGATGTGCTTATTCTACTTGGGGAAGTTCCGCAATCTGTGATTGTCCCACCTGGAGCCAGAATTCCACCTTTCCGGAAACCCAGGGAGGGAAAAGGGCAGAAACCGGTTGTGGATATCCTAATAAGCAAAGCAGGGGGGGGGGGGAAGATGAGCAGAGACTGTGTATATCCAATGTGTGTGTGTGTGTGTGTGTGTGTGTGTGTGTGTGTGTGTCTAAACTCCCACTCCTGTCCCAACTCCTAAGCTCTTTTCCCTGGGACTGTCTTGGCTCAGATAATTTCCAGGCTGGAGGTCACTTCCACTCACCTCATCCCACCCATCCAACACCAAGTTATCAAACAAACCAACCAACCCCAATTTGACTGATATCATCCCTCCCAGGTAAACAAGAAAAACAAGAGCTAGTTGAGCTAATTCTACTTTATCACAAGGCTACATTAACGGATTCTTGCAAGTCTGAAAGTACAAAATACCCATTGCCCCTTTTAACCCCCTCATCGTTGGGGCAGGTCCTTCCTAAGTTTCTTCCTCCGGCTGTCAAGCCCTTGGGGGCTGCCCCTTCCCCTGTCTGACTGTTTCCTAGGCAGCACCTTTTCCCCTCGTCCCCCAAAGTCAGGCACACATTCCGTCCCATCAGTGAGGGTTGCAAGATGGTTTGATTCGGGTCTTCTTCCCTGGACTGCTTGTTTTGAGGATCAACCCTTTGCTCCCCCTCTCCGCACATTTGATTGCAGCACACACAGAACCCCCCAACAGTTGTGAGCCAAGAGCTGCTGCTCACCAGGGTGCTAAAATCCACCTTCCCTGTCTTGTCTTGCAGAAGGCATTTGTCCCTCCCCAGTCCTCCATCTCTAGTAGAAAGCCTTCAAAAGCTTCTGGTCCCTGCCTAAGACGCTGGCCCAGCTCCTCCAGAAGAGGTTCCCCTTCTTTGATCTCTCTCAGAGCTGGGCTCAAAACCTTCTCTCAAGTCGCCAGTGTCAAAACAACATTTATGCTGGGGCTTTCTGCCCTAAGGGGTCCTTCCCAGACCCCCCACCCCCTTCATCCTCAGACGGCGGTGCTGTAAGGCTCTGTCTAGGTAGCACTTAGCTGCATCTACAGCGGGCCTCCTGCAGAGCTGCCAGCACAGCCTTTCCCTATGATTTACTACCGGGGCGCCTCTTTTAGCGCAAATGAAACAATTAGTCAGCTCCATTTTCACACACGCGCCAGAGGGGGAGACACAGCTTAAGCCTGGCTGGGGAAGGGCGGTGCAGCCGTTTTTGTCCAAATTATTAGCAGAGAAGAACAGCAGGACCACTGACCCGCCACGTCCACCTCCTTGAACCAAGGTGGCCCGGCAGGGTGGCAGCACGAAGTCCATTAGGTTGGCAACACGTTCCTTGGTGCAGTTGACATCATGCAGTTGTAAGGGAGGGAAGAAAAAATGGATGGATGCCAACTACATTAAATTGTGGCAGTGGGGTATGTGTTGTGTGTTGTGTGTTCAGGGACAAAAAGACCACAGGAAGAAAGGGCTTTAAAAGATTTTTTTAAAAGGCAGGCAGAAGCCTGAAAATGAAGGATAAGGAGCTAAATCTCAAAATACTGTAAAATGTCCCCAATTCTCCAATAACTTTCAGGAATGCAGAATTTAGCTAGCTGTTTGGATGGTAAAAAGCAAGCTTGTAATAGTTGTAACGTTAATAGAAATACTGCAGTTTGTAATAATATCGGTTCTGTAACATTTGCGTCGAGTTACCAACAGTCAGGTTGAACACAGAATTCTGTACTCTTCTAATGCTTGGTGAGTATGTGCCGTATACTGGTATTGACTCTTTTGAGACTTGACACAGATTATCTCCATGATCTGTTCCCCAATCTTTTCGTTCAGGTCTTCCCATAGCACACCCATTTCCTCCCTTTCCTTTTCCTACCATAGTTGACTTCTTTGTAGAACTGAATTCTGTACAAAATATGATAATTTCAGCCTGATCGTTTGATCATCTTGAGTAAAAACTTTGGATTGATTTGTTTGATGAGTTAGTCCCTTGACTGTCCCTGGGGGTCTAGGGCAGGGGTAGGCAACCTTAGCTCTTTTATGACTTGTGGACTTCAACTCCCAGAATTCCTGAGCCAGCACAGCTGGCTCAGGAATTCTGGGAGTTGAAGTCCACGAGTTATAGAAGAGCCAAGGTTGCCTACCCCTACTCTAGGGCAATTGGTCGCGGCCACATGGTCGTGCCCACTTCACCTTGGCCCAGCTGACCCACCATGGGCATTCAGCCCTGACTGGCCCGCCACAGACACTTACCCACGCCCCCCCAGCAGGCCTTCATTCACAGCTGGCCCTCCCTCAATGTTATACTGCCGCTACTGCTGCCCTGCTACTGCTCCCACATTGTCTAGTCACGGGCGATGTGCCATGGTACAAATCTCGATGGCCGATTCCCCCCACAGGACAGTTAGCCCCGCTTGTGGCGTGTCCACTGGTGGGAGGCGCAGGAGTGGGGGCAGCAACAATTAAGTGGGACAAAACCCAAGAAGGGCCAGCTGGGCTAGGGAGGCCCGGATGAAGTAGGCACAGCTATGTCTCCGTGAGCAATTGTCCCATTCCGGTCCATGGTATTCTCAAGAGTCTTCCCCACCACCAGTGTTCAAAAGCATCTGTCTCGGTTCTTCGAGGTCTAACTTTCGCATCCATTAAATGTCACAGGAAAAATCATCACGGCCACAATTCTGACCTTTGTAGAGATAGACTCGGGGTGATGACTGCTTTTTCAAGGCTTTCATTCCTACTCTACAATGAAGAATAGTCATTATACTCTGCAGCACATTTCTTGGCTGCTGGTTCTTTTACTCCTGATGTCTTCATTGTCAATTCTAAGACTGGTTGCTGTACCTGCTGACATTAATCAGGCCTTCTTTATATTTAATGGAAGCTCCATTTTTTTTTTCAATGTGCTCTCTGACTTTTATTACCAGGGCTTGCAAATGATTTGCATTTTTCAGTTAGTAGAGTAATGTCACCTACATAGAACAGGTTCCTGATGCTTCTACAACCACACTCACTTTCTTCCAATCCAACTTCCCTCCGTATATATACCACATATAACTTGAATAAATGAGGGAGGGGTTTTAAGCTTTGTCCCACTCCTCATTGGCATTCATGTCGTATAAGGCCTTCAAATGGACCTTGAAATACTTTAGAGCTTCGGGAAATAATAAACGACAACCATCATCCACATGGCAGCTGTCAAACTGGTTCATTTGTTTGTTTGTTTGTTTGTTTTTAGTGTGAAAAATCAAGAATTCTATAGGGCATCCTCCTCTTACAACGGTAATTGGGACCGGAACTTCCACTAAGCAATATAGTCTTATTTTAATTTTGGTTACATAAACCAACTTTATATTTTTTCCTTTTAACAGCCTTAATCTTGAATTCAGCTGTCATAGGATTGGATTTCTTTTCCATTTTTCTTCATCCCATTACACAGATTTCTTCAAGCCTTCAACAAGCTTCATTTTCCAGGTAATTCTCCTAGTTTATCGCTTGTGTTTCCCCTTTTAATTTTCAAAACTGCATATCCAGTTTTATCCTTTTTCAAATCATTCTCTTGGCCTGTCCTTCTCTACTTTCTCATCTTTTCAGATAAAATGTATTCCGCATCTGTCACACTTCCATTAACATCTTTTTAAACATAGCCTATCCATAGAAACAGACATTATTACTGACTGTATTGATATTACAGGTCGTAATTTCTGCCCCCATTCTTCAAAGATCTCCTTTAATATTTCCAACGTTATAATGTTTTGTGACACAAAATCCCAGTATTAACATATCAAGAAAAGGCCTGTACATTTTTCCTCTTCAAATCTGCTTCAAATCTTTAGTTCCCTCTAGTGTCCAGTTTCTAAACTCAACACTTGATCTTTTGTCATAACTTGCAACAGCCAGAATTGCCAGAATACATCTGTTTCCCATAAGAATTTATTTTTAAAGTTAATTCCAAACTCTTTTAGTAAAAGTCAATGTTCCAAATTTATCTTGATCCTTAAAATGCATCCAGAATTTTCTTAGATTAAATTCTTTAGTTCTGAAGCTTAAAATTAATTTTTCTCTTGTTCAGAGTTGAAGATAAACTCGTCCGA